GGAATAATGAAAGAAAGTTTATGCAGCATCAGTGTTTTATAAAATGTTATAAAGCTATACGCGCGCACGCTGTTTGGTGACAACATGGCGCCCATGCGCCAAGTTGGCCAAACTCTCTCTATCTACGGCTCTGATTAGCGCATTTCGGAAAGCGCCACCAGCGTCAGTTTATGTTGAGAAACTTTTTTGATGAGAATTAGAGACTTGTAAAAGGGTGAGTCAAATCGAATGCAGACCGCTGGCCGTGACAAGCATGACGTAATTTTTAGGATGCCGTATTTGGCAATAGGGTGAATGTTATGACGGAAGGTGAACCAATCAAACGGTTCTCGTTTTGGTGCCACGAATGTAGACAGAAGTCGGGAAGTTGGGACATGGTACAGTATGTGCAGGTGTGTGTGAATATTGTGGTACATTGTTAATGGAGGAAAAGAAAACACCAACCAAAACGCCAAAAAAGCTGTATTCCAGAGAATTTTTTGTTCTGCGCACAAGATCGAGTGCGTGGAAAAGCTGCAGTCTAGAAAGTATTTGGTTTGCGAACCATCTTAGGTTCACGCGAGGCTCAGTATTTTAAAGACTAGAACATTTATCAGCCCACCACTAGGCCTAGGCCGACGGAAAAGCTGTCATGCTCTCGCAACTGCGACACAAACTTGAAGACAATGTATACCTGGATAAGCTATGGAAGTTGTCGCGGGTACGTTTACGTATTTTTAAAAACAAGTGAATGTCACCAAAAAGAGGAGCAGTCCGTCTGTATTCCAAAGATCAAAGAGAAATTTGATTAGCGCGGCGAAACATGAATTAACCACCTACAGCTGGTGTAGTGGACGGGACGAGCTGGGCCTATGAGATTCGTCTCTAGATAAGATGATGATGGTACCAACGAGGCCAGAACTAATGTAAAGGTGCGTCAGTCTTTAAATTACTTATTAGAATTCTGTGTTTATTTTTCATTTATTGTTAAAATAAATGAAAGTGAATGACAGTAAGATAAAATGTAAACCATAAAACTACTTTTTTAGGAGGGCTATAGTTTGTTAAACAAATGAATTTACCAATACCAGATACCATTTTTTTAAGTAATTTTAAAAATACACCTTGAACTTAATTTAAATATCAAATAAACAGTCCCCATCACCCCTTCTGTCTGGCTCTGTTGTGAGTGATTGTGAATGCACTTGTTATTGTACCTGCTTGATAAGTACTTGTACGTATTCTTCAGTTTTCAATCAGTTGATGGAATTATATTTTCCCAAATATTCACAAAATGTCGCAGCCCTATTTTTATCTAGATGAGGTACACTAATTTTAACCATAGCCTATTGGCTAACCTATATATGATTGCTATTAATAATTCAATTGTTTTGCAGGAATGGATATTCTGTGAATAGTCCAGCCGGATGATCCCCACTGACTTCAGTCAAGTTATGAAACTTGAGACACTTAACATCTGATGGAGAAGCACAAATTCCTGTATACCAAACCCAGTGTCATTTCGATATTAATTGTACTGAAATATGCTTATGATAATGAACAATTAAATACAGTATGATCCTTCCTGTATTCTATTGCATTGACGTTAAATTGACTGTTAATTAATATAGTAAATTGTTTGTTAATTAGTAAAAAAAATTTTTTTTCCTGAAGCAATTGATGATATATATATGGTAAAACACTGAAAGATCAACAAATAAAGTTTGAAATGTAAAATCACTGTGGTTTGGATCATTTTAGTTTCGTACAATGACAGTTACAAATGTATTTTAATCCAAATACATGCAACTAAATTGTTTTCTCATTACCTGCAATGTAGCATCTTTATTTTTACAAATTAAACAGAATGATTATATTTATTGAAAAATAAATCTGGAGTTGCATATTACTCACTGTAACTTAGAAATAATACCAACAAAAATTTGATACTAAGGGGTGAAATGTGTTGTGATTAATTTAAGATTAAAATATAAATGTATTGAAAAACGAATGGATGTCATGTAATTAAATCAATTAGGCATCCTTTTTGACCAACATACTGTACAGTAAACAATAAATTAAACCTTTCTCATTAAACAATAATTTCTTACTCAGCTTCTCATCAAATGTTAATTAACAAAAAAAAATGATATATTTATTCATTGTTTAAATTTCGGAAATACAGCTTTATGCAAAGGATGCAATTGTCCATAGATACGATGATATTCACCCATTCGTCGTACGTAGCAAATTGAGGTTCCTAGATCTTAGCCAGCTTGAAAAATTAAATATTTATACAGTATTATTATTATTTAATGCTATATTAACTACAACAATTACATTACTGTATGTCAAAACTAATATGTAGGCCTATTTCAAATAGATGTCTGCAAACCCGACGTGAATATTGACTATTGTGCTCTCTCTATGCTAGGCCTAAACCTGAATGTGCTGAACTCGGCGAGAAAGCATGAGCTTGGCTGTATCATATCGATAATAATACTGTATTTATTAACTGGCGTGAAGTTGGTTACTTTCCATGCAGCACACTTCTGTTGTGAATGTGCGTTTAAATATTACC